AGGACGCCTTCGATGTAGATCTATATCGACGAGATTGCAGAGGCGGCCGCGCCCCCTTTTTTTCCACCCTGTATATGTACTGGGCCGTGTCATTTGGCCATCGGCGCGTCATGTGTGCGTTTTTGCACGTCCAGCAGCAGGGTGGACCTCGCCGATTTATTGCGATGAGAAGGTGCTTATTTCTCGAAAGCAATGCGAAGTCATCCCGCGGCACCTTAACGAGAAGTGAATGACACTCACCTTGTATGAGGGACGGGCGGTCGTACGCGCGCTCATTAGCGCAGGGAGGCCCGTCTGGGGCCCGGCCGGGGGGTCTTTGTTTCCACGTTACAGTATAGTTTTATTTATATAGTTAAGATTGTTGTATGAAAACAAAGCGCTGAGTTTTTAAGTAATCTAATTTCGTTTTTTCTGTACCTTTTTAGCTCGCCTTAAACGACACGTGTAACCAGTGTAACAGATATCATGAAAAATTGCAAAAGGTAATGTTTTAAACAAAGTAAAATGATTTTTTTCGAGTTTCTCTCCTGTTTTAACCTCTACATTCTGCTCTTATCAAAGACGACGCCAGAGCGTTGTGCTCACTGTACTCAACAACACCTGTGCTGGGCCTATTATTGTTGTGTGAGGAGAGGCCTGAGGCCCCAGGGCCCCGTCACCTTCGCCGTGCAGGGCCTCATCTCCAGCCATGATAAATCCATTGCGGGCCGTCTTGCCGAGTAAGCAAGCCAACGGCCGTACACTGTTCACACTCGCACCCCTGTTCAAAGAAGTAATGTCTTATAAATTTTCTATGTTGGTGAATATCAGTAGTTAAATTTTGGTGAACTTTGAAGAGGGGGGAGAAAGGCAGGCGCGTTTAGGACACTGATTTAGTATTTATTTTCTCATTTCCAAAATTGACTCGCGAGTTGCCCCCTCATTACTTTCTGAATATTCGATTTGACGTTTTTTGTTGGCGGTGCCCCCACCGTCCTCATATCGGACGGTCCGTAATGCTGGTCGGCTACCGTGCTGTGCACCGCCGATGCAATAGCGTACAGTCTGGACGGTGAGTCGCTGGAGTGACGCGGCCTTTCCCCTCGAAGCAGGACAATACCAACCAAAAACACTGTCGGTTGGTCCAGGCGGAGCAGGGGTAGCTGTTCTGGTGATAAACTATGATCGCCGTTCAGCATATCACAGACCTAGAACTTTGGTTCGACCGGAAGGCCTTGCACATTGCGAAGAGGGGGATCAGAGCTCGCACTGTACGTACGACCGAATCGAATTAGATTGAGAAAGGAAACGATACAAAAGGAGCATTGAATCGAGTCTGGCTGCCGCCCTTACGCCCCGGCGTTGCCGCGCCGCTTTTGAACAGAGGGAATGCCTGCTGCTGGCAACGCTGCGCAGGGCATGCAGCTTGCTGCACCAGTCGGCAAGGTCTGCGACTGCAATAGCAGGGAATTACAATTAGCCTTGTGGCCGCAGTGACCGCCCCGGCCGGGCCGTTGGCAGGAGAGCTGACCGCGCAACCAAAGGGCGCAAAGCCCATACTGTCCAAGTGTGCTCTAGAAAGTGGTGCTGCCTGCTGCCAGATCGCCATAACATTTGCAGTGGTATAAACACTAGGTCCAACTTTACTAAAATGTTGAACGCCTCTCGCACATTTAAAATTACAGTCGTCGGGAGCAATAATACGAGAGTCATGCGCAGCAACGGAAGGGTAAGCCTCGGGTGGCAGGGTGCCTGGACGCGTCGCCCGGGGGCAGCCGGGCGGGCAGCCTGGGGCCCGGGGGGGCCGAGTGAGGCCTGGTCCAGAGACACTCTGCTGGTCTAATTACAGGCCGGGGGGCAACCGCGGAGGCAACCACGATGACATTAATTGGAGCAACTCGGTGTCTCGTCGAGATCAGATCAGCGCGGGTACATAAGTACAGCTTGGACGCGCAGAAGAAGCAAAAAAGTCACGCTCACTTTGTGCTCTGCTTCTGATATCGAACTTTTCCAAAATTAATCATGATGATAGCGTCTCTTCCTTGTCAGAATGCGAGCAGCAACCCATTTTCCAGCATTTACCACAAAAAGGGGCCAGTAAACGAAATGGCCGAGTCGAAAAAGTAAATGCATCCTGCAAGCAGAAGCTGGAGTCCAGCCGGGCGGGCCGGGCGGGCCGGGCGGGCCTGCAAGCTGCACCTCCTGACCGCACGACGTAATTGCAGACTAATATTTCCGTTTGCTGTGCGATTGTCGGTAGCTGCGGTCGCACTGAGGTCGACATCATTTTAGGGAGATGTGGAGCAGAGAGCTGCATTTGCTCCGCGTAACTCGGGTGGGCCGGCCCGCCTACACTGTATAAATGATAATTTTTTGCCAATTTTATGTCCTGCAAATATGTGTTCTTCGCCAAAGAACAGTAAGTTCTTGATTCAATGCAACCTCTATATCAACCAGAGAGTTTTCGTTGAATCAATAAGGTCTATGATAAGTTCTTGGGCTTTCAGCACATCTCTGTCGGATGCATATAGAATTCTATGTGAATTGCATCACATTGCTTATAGAATATCAAGTCACATTCGTTAGAACATGTATATGTGACATCAATTGCAAAATAACACCAGAAACTAAAGTGTTAATGTCAATGTCGCACACTTCTAGGTGTGTGAACGCCATTCGTACACGGAGACACAAGTGTGTGCATTCCAAAGGAAAAGCAACACCTTTACTTCCTGATGTGAACGAATGGAGAATCACACTCTTACAAGTGTGTAACATTATTCACACACTTGCGTTAACGTAACGAATCTCAGTCGCTCAAAAATTGCTTTACGCACCGACACACCTATTTGGTAATTTAACTGGAATTCCCTCTTTGTTGGACACAAAATTTTTATCCTCCTTTCCCATTTACACACTAGATCCTTATGCATTTTGTTGTGCATAAACTTGCAGGATTTCATGCAGCCATAACATTATGCTCAATTTTATGCATAACTATGTACAGTGTGTGCATAATTATGCACATTTTGTACACAATTATGCATAAAAATGTGTGCATACTTATTGCTGCATGAAATCCTAGTCTAATGCACAACAAAGTGCATAAGGATTTAGTGGGTAGTGAATGAAGTCTGCTTTGGAGGCTCTTCGATAGAACCACGGTGTAATGTAATCAAAGGTTACACTGCGTTCTAGGGTCGTTTGTTTTCCGTGTGCATGCATAAAATTTGCTTAAACGTTCATTCCATTGCAATAAAACTGAGTAGAAGAAGCAGTCAAGGGACCACCTGTCAAGGTACGCAGTAGAGCAAAAATTGAAACACTCGGCGATTTAAAGTTTGTGCTTGTGTTTTACAGGTGGTCGGTGCGATATCGCGTGGCCTGGTGCTATGTGGGTGGTCCCATCCTCTCTCCGCCCAGGCTCCTCTGATGCCCACACGCTCGGACCCTTATACCCCTGCGGATTAAAAGCGTCTTGCTATGTGCTTTTTATTTCAAGCTCAGCCCCGCCACCCACCACCGCTTGCCACTGCTCGTCTCATCCCCTTTTATTTTCGTCGGGGGAAGATTACTTTCACTTCCGTCTCAAGAAAAACATACGCAGAGTTTAAGACTCGCTCAGATGCAGCCTCCCCAGAGGGACTTCACAGAAGCCGCCTGGATGGGCGCATGGGGTTCTCTATTTCAGCACTCTCAACTGTCGACTTACTTCGTCGTAAGTAATAGTATAAATGATTTTGTGAACTACTTGTAACAATACTTAGCTTATCAACAAAAACATGGGTGGTTTTATCTACCTGAAAGTTCCAGTCTAGATTTCCATATTTCGTTTTAGTTTCCAGCTTCTGATAATCCGTATTTATTTTAAATGATTTATCACAAACCGAATTGTTATAGTACCAATTTAAAAAAGAAACGTTAATGGCAAGGTAGTATTCCTCTGTGAGGACCGGGTGAAGGTAGTATGTTGCTAGAACACAACTTATGATCCCTTACGCAACGTACTTGCGCGTATCCACAAATGTTTCAGACATGTTTTTCTACCTTCAAATCAGAAAAGACGAAGATACGAAGATTACTGGAGGCGACGTCGGGCGGCGGGACGATGGTCAGTTCGGTTGAACTATTTTTATTGAAACTCCACTAAATAAGTAGTTCCCTTACCGCGTAACGACGGGCGGCGAGCGGGGCCAAAGGAAAAGGGCGGCAAAAGTGGGCGGGGCGGGGCGTGAGGCGGCGAGCGGCCGGTAAAGGATTCAAAAGGGCCGCTCTGCTCCCCACACCGCCCTATCCTTACACTGGCCGCACCCCCATGCGTGTGTGCGCGCTGCTAGTGCGTGAGTGTGTGTGTGTGTGGGGGGGGGGGAGATGGGGATATGCCACATCCGATATGTATGTACGTGAAGGCGAGTTAAGGAGCGATCATAGGCGTGGATCAGCCTGTCCATTTTCAAGTTGTGGGCGGGCACGCGGCGGCGGTTTCTTATACTCACGCACTGATAAATATAAAGTGTGCAACTGGCGTGCATATGCAAGTGCTCATTCTTAATACTATATGTTTACTTTTAGATGTTTAGGTGGACATTTGAACACTTCGAAGTGTTCAACTTCAGGGTTTGCCAGTCCACCTCCTAAGAGGGCGCATTGATCAGAACGAGGGCGAGTTGAACAAGGGGACACTACCATGTGCATGTCAGTTGCACACTTTTGTTTTCGATGCAATCATACGCCAGTGCCAATGGAATGTATTGATGAAAGCGTATTTTTTTGTTGGATTGGTTTTGCTTCGGATTTCCTCTGTCATTTGTGTTATTTTATTTGCCCGTTTCTGTGCATGTTCCAGGTCCACGGCCTCGTTCCCTGCTCCCTGCAGACTCACGGCGTGATTGATGTTGCGATCACAACAGCACACGGGCGGTTGGCCCCCGTGACCCCGCGCTGTCCGCGGCGCTGTCGGCAGCATTACGAGTGATTGTCGAGTTGTAAATGTGTTTGATCGGCAATTTATTAAATCCGCAATAATTATACTCAACAATGGCATCGTTTTATTTGTTGTTAATGTCGTTGACAATGTGTCTGAGTAGCTGCTGTTCTCCCCCGCAGTTCACGAAAACGTTTATTTTAGGTTGGGCCTGTATTAACAATTGCTGGCTATGTACCCGATGTACCCCATGTGCACCCCAAAATAAAAGCAAAGAGCAGCCTGGTTGAGCGGGGGCTTATTTGGCCACAAATAAATAAATACATAATGCACAATCCGAGCGCATGGCGTGGCGTGCCTTACAACACAATGAGCGCGGGATGCGCTGCGCTGCACGTACGCACGGGCCGCTCCCAAACTTATGCAAAAAACGTATACGGCCAGTTTGAACGGTAGCCGGTATGTTCGGGCGTAATCACCAATACGTCTGTCTGCTGCCGGCAGAAAACGGCAGCAAGGGGCCGTCTGAAGGGGGCATCCCAACGGGCACACGCAACAGTAGCACACACACACACACACACACATGAACACCGGCACACTCACGCACGCAATCTCTGTAATAACAGAGCATGTGCAGAGAGAGAATGTGTGTGTGTGAGGGGGTCGTCGCCGGGAGCAAAGGCAAGGGTAAGGGAGAAGGGCGGCACCCTAAAGGGCCCACGATAGGGCATTAGGGGGCAATCCCTGCGTCCCGTGTGCGCCCGAAGGGTCGAAGGGTGCACTGCCAAAACGTTTTCTCTCGAGCAAAAAACTAATAAAACAGCTCCATCCCTCTCCTCTCCCACCCCTGTTGTCGTCTTCGTCATAATTTTCCGCAGCGGCCGGGCGTTAAAAACGTCAAAGGTGCCCGAGGGAGGGGGGGGGGGGGCTGGCTACTGTTGGGCCCTCTGCTGGGCCCCGCGGGGCGTGGCTGGGCAAAGGTGTGTATCTCCAGGCAAATCTCGTCCGGCCGTGCAGGAGGCAGTAAAATGTCGGACGTATACTGCTGCGAGTCTGACGTTGGCGGGGCGGAGCGGTGCGCGGGGAGCCGTCGCGTGGTGCCGATGACGTTTTACGTCGCAGAGACGGACACTGAACAACTCCTGTACTTGGTGCAAGCAGAGAGCCATCTCCCGGACGGGACCGCGGCGGTGGCAAGACGGTCCAAGGCTCGGTCTTGAAACAAATAAAATAAAAAGTGCAGTATTCTCCGCTTCAACAGGAAAAGACAAGAAATGTTCTTTTACAGGAACTGTCTCAGCGGCTGCAGTTGGCGAAACCGACGATCACGCGAGAGGGCCACCCGAGTTCGTGTAAGTTGGAGAGAGAGAAAGAATAAAAGGAGAGGAGTGGGAGAGATGGTCGGGCTGCAGGGGTCCTGCACCCAGTCTCCTCTCCCTGCCGCTCCTCACTTCCCATCTCCCCTCCCTTCCCCTTTCACCTTGGTCCCTATTCCGCCCCTCTGAAGTCCTCTTCATGCAACCCATAAACGTTCTTCCCCGTAAAAAGACGAAAAACAATGCCTTCTCGTCTGTAACAGACTCATCAATATAATAATGATGACGGATCAGCCAAAAACACACGTTTGGCTGGGAGACAAAACGGTCCCACCACCAGTGCATGGCACAGCTCCCTCTGTAATCATGCGGTATACTGCTTATTTACATGTCGTCTGCATCTCTCTCTTTCTCTCTGGACTGTAGCGTCATGTGCCTTTGAGCTTCGCAGGGAACCTTATTCGGAAATTCACATCAGTAGAGGAGGCTGTTCTTCCAAAAAAAACCACCACATCGGTTAATTCGGAAATTACTTGGCAGCACCTGACGTGTCTCAAACTTTTGAATTATTCTGCACGAAATTTTTATCTGTTCTGCGAAAGGGAGAAAGATCGTCGGCCATGCGGCATGTCAATGCATCTCTCCTCTGCCCCCTCTCTTTCCCCTCCATCGCCATCTCCCTTTTCCCTCAGTTGCGGCCCATATAATTTGATTCGTTTGCGATTCGGGCGGTCCGGGGGCCGGGCGCATTATGCACACAGTAGCAGCTCGACATTATGACTACGTGCCAAAAAGTATCGCCACTTCTTATTTTTTGGTCCGGGAATCAAATCCGAGAGACATTCTCACAGATGCACGTGCACGACCACACCTGCAACTGCATGTCTCACACCTACATGTGTCAGACCATACACGCTAATATCCTATGGGAACATTTTTATTCATTGTTTGCATTCATTCACTCATTCATTTATTCATTCAATCATTCATTCAGTCATTGCTGACGCATTTTAATACGCCTGGATGAACATTTTAAAGTAAGGGGACTGTCTAAAAATGCGTCACAGAAAATAGTAACTTGTGAATAAAAATGTTCACAGGATCGTAGTGTGTATGATTCTCAGACTGACAAGTGTGAAACCATACGTGAGTCTCACCTAACTGTTACGACTTGAGTTTCCAGAGTATTTGCCTTTTCTGTCATTGATTATCATGTACAGTTTGCGCATAATCCCCGCGAAACGCAAGTAAATTTTTCTCGAAGATTTAATGGTTTTTGTAAATGACTTTCTAGAGGTGTGTGAGGTGGGCCCCGCCGCCGGGTCTGCGTGGGAGGGAAAGGGATAACTGCCCCATCCGGCCTGGGCGGCGTGGAGGAAACGAAACGACTGACCAGGGCGTACCGGCGGCGAGGTGCCCGGCTGCCTCTGGCCTGTGGCTGCCCTCCCTCTCCAGAGGGCCGTGAGTTAGAGGCCTGGGCTGGTCCGGCCCTCCTCATCCTGTCGCTGGCCAGATTGGAACTCGGGGAGGAAGGGGGTAAGCCCTTGAGGTGGGCGCTGCAGGGCCCAACGTATACGACACTACTATACATACCCTGTCATTATCCACAGGGAGAAGTTAATTAAGTAATCAGCCCGTGTTACTGCCACAACGCCCCCCCCCTTTCCTTGCAATATTGAAAGCGTTTCCAGTGTGGGGCTCTTCATGTCGACCGTACAAGAAAGGGCGCGCCAGCAAATCCTGCTTAATCGAAATATTTGTGAAAGAGATTATTAATTATTAATTGATTGTGATGGGTCTGGATCCGGTCATCTCCGCGTTCAATGCGCACGCTGTTGAAGAGTTAAGGGTTCCTGTTTGCAGGCAATTTTAATCAGACAGCACAACAGTATAAATGGAATGGAAAGGAGGACCACGACGAGAAAGGGGGAACGGGACGGGGGCGGGGGACGTGCAGACGCCAGCCCAGAGATTTAATTAATGCAGCGCCATATGGTGCAATGCTCGCAAGGTAATGCACAGCGCGGGGCAGGGCAGGGCGGGGCGGGGCTGGGTAGCGGCGACATCAAAGGGTGAGGCTGCGGGGAAGATAAAGGAAGTGCTCGATAGAAAGTGAAATTAAAAAACGTTGTAAGTACGCCGCTTGGGGGAAGGGGAAGGGGATGCTGAGGAGGGGTGGGGATGGAGCAGGCACATCAAGAGGAGACGTGCGAGCCAAAGCCCTTTTGCGCCCCTCTTTTCTTTTCATCCGCTGTTCTTTTCCGTTTGTGTTGCGAGCCGCGTCCGGTCCGGCGCGCTGCGCTGCGCTGGTCCAGCCAAGTGGCGCGCCGCCGGCCGCGCCGCCAGCAGCTGCCCCGTGCTGTCGGTTTGGTTGCCAATGCGTCGGGCGCGCTCGCGTGACAACCAGAAGGACTTTCTGTCCTCGGTGACGAAACCTTCGGACACGTCGAAGTCGTGCAAGGCGTGTGTGTGTCCTGATGGCGCGTGGTTACGGACGGCCCCCCGGCCGACCCCCGTGGGGGACCAGCCAGCAGCACCCAGCCACCACACCGTGTCGGATTCAAGTGGCTACCGCCTGCGGCCGCCGCCGCCGCCTCAACGCATTACTCTGAGATTGAAAGGAGAGGGGACCCTCCGACCGGCTACCGGGTACGTGCCTGCCTCCTGGGTACCTCACGGTAACTTACGCCCCTTTGTCTATCCCCCCCCCCCTCCGCATCCAATCAGAAGACACAAGGACTCTCCTCCCCAAGGCAGGATGTGGACCCGGCGCGGAGTGGCGGACACCTCTCCTGGGTAAGTTATTATACGACCCAACACCTATGTGGCCACCCCGCCCCGCCGCACCCCGCCCCGCCCCGCTGCCGCGCGGCTACTGGAATTGACCACACTCAATAAATCCAAGCCGGTGTTGGTGGGGGTCGCTACGGCAGCAGGGGGCCGCCGCACCGCCGTTTGTGGAGGCTGGAGGAGCCCAGAGAGACACTGCCAGCGGCAAGCAGAGGGAAATGAGATCACGTTCTGCTGCTCTCCTTCATCACCAATCAAATCAGAAAGATCCTCACCTCTCACTGCTGCCGCCGCTGCCGCCCTCGCCTCGCGGCACCGGCTCTCGACAGTGTACGTATGGACGGGACAGCGATGAGTTCTCTCTCGTCTGTCGGGATGACGGGACTTCCTGTAGTTACGCGTGGCTTCACACAGCATCGCCAGCCGGTCGGGGGGGTCGCCGCGCGGCGCGGAGAGGGGCTCACAGAGTACTTTGTGTGTGCTCTCGGCGCCGAGCTCGGCCCGGCCAGAGGAAGCTGGTGGGTGCACGCTTAGCCCTGTCCGTTGGAGGATGAGCAAGCCTCTCACCAGAGCGGCTGAAACCAGAAATACAGCCAAAGCTTGGCATCAGGCCTACACTGCAAAACCTGTGTGGAGCCAGCGGGGTTGGCGGGGTTTGCCTACTCACAGTTGGAGCCTTACGGGCCGGAGGAGGAGGCATTCCCCGGGGGCGTGGACCGAAACACATGCGGCAGACCATAAGAGGAAAGGTAACACACCTGTGCTGCATGCTGCATGGCCATTGCATACTCACACGAGGCGGTAAGGCGCCGTGGTGAGAAACGGTAGGCAAGCCCGCCCGCACACCTGCATGCGGTACAGTATTAAGCGAAATAAAGGGAGTGGTCTGGAGCACCCTGGAGCACCCTGTACTGTGCATGTTGCCGAAGAGATGTGTCAGCTTCGGCACACCTCTCCCCTGCACATCCAAATGGAGCTGGTGCAGATTAGAGTCCTATATGTGGGGCTCTATAGGGCGCTT